AAGGTATCGGACATGCAAAAATCCCTTAAACAAATTTTGGAGGCTGTTCGTGTCCCAGAGGAAAGGATCAAAAGGAATGTGGTTTGTTATGGTTGTGGCCAGACAGGCCATTTTAAGTCGAACTGTCCTAATGCTGAAGATAATAAATCTGTGAAACTCCTGGATGCGGCTGAAAAGACTGAAGGTGAAGAAGTAGTCCCTGGATCTGAAGAAGTTGAGGACTCGTTAAACACCGACAGGTCGGCCAACTAGACCTAAGCCCGACCTTAGATGTTAAAAATGGTCTTCATCCTACACGGTCAACAATTACACCAGATGACCTTATCAGTGAGGTAATGACTGATAACACCACCGAATCAACCCGTGTTGAACTTGATAATATTACCCGATTACGGTCAACATCCATGTTTCAAGTGCCTGTTATCGTGGGAGGTTTTCATACAAGAGCAGTGGTGGATACCGGTGCTGAAGTATCAATCATATCGGATGAGGTATACAAAAACCTTGTTGAGCCACCCTCGATATTGAAACATGTGACACTTAATGCAGCAGGCAGAGATCAACCAATTGAGAGCTATATTGTTGGACCCATCGAACTAGATATAGGATCTAAGAGTTACAAGGTTAGCATTTATGTTGGACCAATTGAAGATGATATCTTGCTGGGTCTGGACTTTCTGAAGCCCAATAATGCTCAACTTGACATTTCAGGGGATACTCTTACCCTGGGTATTGGTGGAGAGAAAATTTCAGTGAACACAGGAAAAGAATTTTTACCTGCTTCCGAAGGCAAGGTATATGTACAGAAACGGACTGTAGTACCACCGAACAGTGTAGCAAGAGTGTGTTGTCGAATTTCCGGAAAGGTAGGCAGTTCTAGTCTAATTGTGGAGCCTACAGTAGAAAATGGACTACTAATTCCGAGATCATTGTATGACACAGCCTCGCAGATCAGGTTGTACTGTGTGAATGTCACGGACAGAAATATAATTCTGAAAAGGAAAACGGAAATTGCGATAGTCAATGAGGCAAGAGAAATTATTGCGAATGTTGAAAGTCATGCGGATCCCATATTTGTGGAGACATTACGCTGTGGCGAGGAAACACCGGACATTGCGCCTTCGCATGTACAGAGTCTCATTGATGGCGCGAAAGAACAGTTGTCGGTTGAGGAGTTAAGTCAATTTGCTCAACTTATTAAGGATAATTCCGATGTTTTTGCGAAAAATGACTTTGACCTGGGACATTTTAGTGCTATCAAACACAATATTGATACAGGTACGGCACGGCCGATAAAGCAACGTTTTCGCAGAACGCCAGCATGTTTTGCCAACGAAGAGGATTTGCATCTAAAGAAGATGCTAGATTCTGGAGTTATCGAATCCTCTACATCCGAGTGGGCGTCAGCACCAGTGCTGATCCGTAAACGTGACGGCGGAGTGCGCTGGTGCATAGATTATCGGGGACTGAACTCGGTAACTACTAAAGACGTGTTTCCATTACCGTTAATAGAAGAATGCCTCGACGCATTGACCGATAACGTGTGGTTTTCGAAACTAGATGCCAACTCGGCTTATTGGCAAGTCCTTGTCAATGAATCGGACAGACATAAGACTGCCTTCAGTACAAAACACGGATTGTTTCAGTTTGTCAAAATGGGATTCGGACTTTGTAACGCCCCAGCAACTTATGCCAGAGTAATGAACCTGGTTCTTCGTGGATTAACATGGAACATTGTTCTTGCCTTCCTGGACGATGTGTTGGTTCTTGGGAAGACCTTCGATGAGCATCTCCAAAATCTAGCAGAAGTCTTTGAGCGCATCAGGGCGTATCAACTGAAACTCAAACCCGCTAAGTGCGAATTCTTTAAAAAGAAGGTTGACTTCTTAGGGCGAACAGTTAGTGAAAGTGGCATTGAAACCAGTGGCAAACACATCGAAAAGATGAAGGAGTGGCCAACACCAACATCATCTAAGGATGTTGAGCAATTCTTGGGGTTTGCCAACTACCATCGCTCATTTATTCCCGAATATGCCAAAATTGCAGCTCCTCTGTACCAATTGACAGGAAAGAATGACTTTCGGTGGGATGAGGAACAGGAAAAAGCATTTTCCAGCTTAAAATCTTCCCTGAGTTCTCCACCTGTTTTGGGAATACCGAATAACAGCGATATGTTTGTGCTCGACACAGACGCATCTGACTTTGCTATTGGTGGTGAGTTGTGCCAAATTCAAGAAGGCAAGGAAAGAACAATAGCTTATGCTAGTTATTCCCTGACATCAGAACAGCGTCGCTATTGTACAACAAGAAAAGAACTTTTGGCAGTAGTTCGCTTTACCAGACAGTTTCGCCATTATCTGCTTGGTCGCAAGTTTGTGGTGAGAACTGATCACAACAGTTTGGTTTGGTTGCTCAACTTCAAAAATCCCCAAGGACAACTGGCGAGATGGCTTGAAGAGTTAAGCCAGTATGATCTAACTATTGTACACCGAAAAGGAAAAGACCATCAAAATGCTGACAGTCTCTCCCGGAGTCTACCAAAAGACCAGTGCGGAAACTTGAAACATGGGCAAGATCCTACCACGTTACCATGCGGAGGATGTGCCTATTGTACTCGGGCTCATGAACATTGGCATCAGTTTATCTCTGATGTGGACGAGGCGGTCTCTCTAAGTAACATACCCTGCGTACAAAAAGTAACCCAGTCTGACAATACTTTCGCCGTGGAAGGAAGTCTATATAGCGAGAATTTGACCATAGAAGTGTCTGCTTTTGGAATAAATATCCTCACTAGATCTGAAAGGAGTGATATTGAAGACATGAACGTCAACGCCTTGGATATTCAATTCTCGGGTTACTCGGCAAAGGAAATCCGGACTGCTCAGGAGCAAGATCCAGAGTTATCTATACTGCTAGAGTGGGTAAAGAATAAGAAAGAGGTGGACGAAGGAGAACTGTTTGGATCCAGTAGAGCCATAAAGTATTACTGGATTAACCGTGAGTTATACTTCCTGGATGAGTCTGGTATATTGTGGAGGAAGGATCTAGAAGACACTAGCAAAACTCAATCCTTGGTTATACCTCCCAGTATGAGAGAAGACGCTATTTCTTTGTGCCATGACATCCCGGCTAGCGCTCATCAGGGAATCAACCGAACAGAATCCATGGTTCGCCAGAGGTTCCATTGGTATGGCTTGCCTCGCGACGTTCAAAAGTTCGTGAAATCCTGTGTCATCTGCAACACCAAGAAAAAAGCCAGTCGAAAGGCTCGATGCCCGTTGACTCTTTTCCAATCAGGGGAACCCATGGAAAGAGTTCATCTTGACTTCTTGGGCCCACTACCCATAACAGCAACAGGAAATGAACACATATTAGTTATGGTAGACCAGTTTACCAAATGGGTTGAATGTGTTCCCTTACCTTCGCAGACCGCCGCGACAACCGCAAAAGCAGCTGTAAACGAATTCTTCGCGAGATTTGGATATCCGTTCCAAATTCATACAGACCAAGGTAGAAACTTTGAAAGTCGTCTGTTTAAAGCTTTGTGTGAAGTTACGCAAATTCATAAAACTCGTACAACGGCTTATAGACCTTCTGCCAATGGACAAGTGGAGAGGTATAATCGCACCATCATGAACGCAGTTCGATGCTTCATAAACTCTCAAAGTGAATGGGACATCTATTTACCACAGCTAGCTGGCGCGCTAAGGTGTTCCGTAAACCGCCAAACTGGACATACCGCCAACAAGTTAATGCTGGGCCGGGAGACCAATCAGCCTGCAGATCTCTTGTATGCCGCTCCATCGAACAAGAAGGCGAAGGACTCTCGCGACTCTGAAAGTTATGTGGACAATTTGGTAGATGCAATTCAGCGTGCCCATGAAACCGCCAGAAAAACCCTTGCCACAACGCAGAGGAGAATGAAACGTGATTACGATGTTCGCGTTTACACTACCGAGTTCATTGAAGGGGATGTGGTCTACGTCTTCGACAATGCAACGCCTAAGGGACAAAATCCCAAGTTAAAGGCCGTTTGGAAAGGTCCTGGACTCATAGTCAAAAAGTACACGCCGTACGTCTATGGAGTACAGATGGGGAAGACGCGACAAGTCATTAATCACGATCGATTAAAAATGTGTAATGACCGTAAGCGACCCCAATGGATAATCGATCTCCAGGAGCACCGAGCGGAACCGGTAGAGGAAACCCACTGTGTCTGCCATCAAACGGATGATGGGACCATCATGATCCAGTGTGACTTTTGTTTTGTGTGGTTCCATGGACGTTGTGTGGGCTTAAATGTAGAGGAAGCCGAACAGCTGGAACTTTATTGCTGTACTACGTGTGAACTATCTGTATAAGTGTGAACTGACTCCACAGTATACAGGGACTTCTATAAAAGAGGGAGGAATGTGGTGTTTGTTGACGTTCTGTAAGCGTGCGAATGACTGTGAGTGAAGCATGTGAGTGACCTTGATGGGAGCCTAGTTCGAATTGTTCTTGCATGTGTTTTGTTCCAAGATAAAAAGTACCCAAGCTGAGATAGCTGTCCAGTGTTCTATATTTGTGAAGCGTATGTGTGCCGACTGTACTGGTACGAATACAACAGTTTTAATAAGGATCACACCAGCGAGATGTCTGGCTTACTATCAATAAAGCTTAAGAGAAATTATCCTTTACTGAGTTGTTAGAAGACAGCTAGCTTATTTCACTATGGTGACAGAGATATATGTCACTAGAATTATGTAAAATAATCAAGGGAGATAACTCACAATATCAGAAATAATATTTTGGCATACAAAGATTAAGATACATTTCAAACAGGTATAGATCTATACAGTCATTTAGTTTTGTTGAAGGGAAGATCATGATTTCTCCTATATATTAGGATTTGGTAAATTGCTCTATCCTTTCACAAAAAAAGCCCCAAAACCTAACAGTAATGAAGCTTGTGAAATCAGATTGTAAAACCTGATCGCAAACATTTGGTTCCGGTTTACCTCTAGTTTGGCGTATCTAAGCCAGTGGAGACACATGCTCGTGGCTTTGTTCTGGTCTGATTTACAAGCCACCGTAAAGGTGGATCTGAGAGTTTCGGAGACGATGCCCTGAAGGTATGTGCTTTTGCCACTGTTGTACACAAAAATTCCTGTGGAAAAATCATATTGGAGGTCTCCAACCCTCTGCTCCACCACTCCACTGGCGTATAGAGGTGTCACTTTCTTCTTCAGAGCGCTCACTGTGTACCAGATAATAAACACCATGAAGAGAAGAAAACAAGCTATCTTCAAAAATCTCAACGTTCTGCCGCGAAGTTGCCTCATAGTCAAACTTGTTGTATCGCAGCTCATCACATAACAAACATACCGCATGTGCTTCCGGGGGTTATTACCTCATTTCCGGTTCAATGCGCTCGGGCGCTTTCCATTTGCTGGGAAAGCCTACGTCGATAGTTCTAACACGCTTTCACTTATGTGGTTAAATCAAACATTACCACTCTATAAATGAAAATCTGAATAGTAAAGTGCAAGCAGTATACGTCTCTGGTAATATCCCTTTTTCATTGGTTGATAATCATTTTTAAGAAATAAGTGCGTGTATCACAATGATATAAGAAAATGTTGGAAAATAATCAATGAACATTCCATTAACTTTAATGTGTTAAATATTTGTGTATGATTATGAAATGTATATACTCAATGTTCGAGTCGAAAATGAAGGGGGGAATAACACTGGGCCGGAAACGGTGTTTTTTACCGTAATTTTAACGTAATGCATCAAGTGCAAATTATGTTGATCATACCATAGACTAGAGACGTACGTCTCTGCATAGACAAAGAGTTTTTCTAATTAAACAGATTTATATAAAACACGTGCCTTCTTCCATTTTAGCGAATAACCACAATCTATGGTAACTTTAAATATTCACGAACGCGTGTACGTGCTACGACGATGAAATGTATGTATTGTAACAGGAGATGGAAAGATGCCAGACAAGGGTTCGAAACCTGGACACTCCAAACTCCAGATGGGTGATGCTCTACCAATTTAGCTACCTGGTAGCCAACGATCGACCAGAGACGTATAATACACAAGTCAATAATACACATAATAGAGTCTCTGGATCGACCAAGTCAAGTTCCACATCATTCCTCCCTCCTTTTCTAAATCTTCGCCCTCGAAGACACAATTTACAACCCAGGTTCGGTTATTCCCTTGCCAAGCGTGCGCGTACACCCAATGCTTGTATCAAGGGTTGGTCATAGGCACCACTCTAAAATGAGATGAGAAATGCACGACATGACCAGGGTTGGAACCAAGGACCCTTCGAACTGTAGACGGACGACCTACATGTACATGTATATCAATTGAGCTACATGTAAAATGTACCTGGTCGCCGACAGTCCCACTGCCACCAGTTCAAATTAATTGAAAAACATAATAAGTACATTTATATTTACACTATATTTACAACACAAGTTTTTTAATCCGTCATAAACTATACCAGTTTTCACTATTGTGAACTCAATCTCTCCACTCCAAACTTATCTCCAACTATAAACTGTAAAACTACACAGACTAAAAACTACAGCTAAAACTTCTATTATTACTAACTTCCTAATTCTCGCTTTAACTCGTAACTTTCTAACTCTCCTCTATATCTCTGGACCTCTCAACTCTGTCTCCCTAACTCAACCTCCTTTCTCAAGACTTCTAACCCAACTTTCTTCTCCTTTGATTCCCATTAGCTGAACTACCTTGTCCCTTAGCAGGGTTGACACTAACTTTTGATAGCTTGTGGTCAGCCGACGAGTGTAGCGAGGAGTAGGGGGTTGTGTTCGGGAGGGGGTACTGAATAAGAGGGGGGGNTAATGAAGGTTTTTAATTTTCTGTAAAATTCTTGTTTTTTTCTCTCCTTACTTTTTCCATTTTTCCATTTATGACTGATTTTTAAGAAATAACGCAGAAACATGAAACAAATTTCTCTGTTTATTTTTTTACATAGCCCCCAACAGTAGTCTGTATGCTTTTTGTTGCAACTCTATTCAATCCTTCCTGGACATTTCGGAATCATCTTCTGAGTGCAGCATACCCTACATTTCATTAAGTTTGTGTCAGTATCATCATTGAGCCTTGTAAACGAATTTTTCCATGAAAGTTTTTTTTTTGTTTGTGTAGTTATTTTTCGGTTGAAGTTTTTAACTTTATTTTGCCAGTGGTTGTACAAGTAGTACACCGTAGGGACCGGGTCCACCAAAATCCTGGACGGTCCACTTACTGGGGTGGGGGTCAGTATCAGCTAACACTGACGTCACAGACTGGACTTCACCCTCCTAGACTACAGATGGTAACACTAATACAGATCCCAACCTATATTATAGCCACAATTTTCTTCGGCTACTTAGTCACTATCTTCAAATAAAACTCTGATACTGACCACGAACCAAGGCTAATAAAATTCAAAGCAAAATATACCACTTAAAACACTTAAACGGCTAATAAATGCACACCAGTGACTGTGAAAAAACAATAAAATGTATTAGGCATGAAGAAATAGGGTAGGTCGGGAAACGGGAAACACAGCTATATTTTTATTTGGCCTTAGCGTCCGACTGGAGAGTTGATCGAGACTGTTGGAGTACTTTTCTTTTCAGTTTTTACGGTCGACAATAGCGAGCGGAAAATAAAATGAAAGGTAATGTTCCTATATATCTGGTTTCTCCTGACCTGACGCGGACAGATATTGAGCGGAGGTTTAAGTTTGATTCGAATCCGTGCGAGCACATATTTTTCAAATATGGGACAAAATTCATTAGAAGCCGAGGGAAATTTAAAGAATATATAGTCTACACATTTCATTTACTTATCAACGTACGTGGCAGGTGACATCACAACAACAAATCATTTTAAAGTTTTGTATTTGCAAAATTTATTGAACTTCCGTTTGGTTGCCATTATCAATCCTGACCTTTCCCCCATAATGTCACAGAGTCATTATCAGCAAGTGGAGTCTCGAGTTCTGCGGGACTGCAATAGGATACACTCGAACGTAATGGTTACACGTGTGCTTTATTTTGTAAAAGAGTGCGAGTCTGCAATAGTTTGTCTGTTCTCTGAAGAATTTAATTGTATGAAATATATCATAATATGAACTGTACCCAGGGTCCGTTCCATGTCATCACTCGTCGAACCGCTCTGCATTGGATTTTTAGCTCACCTGCCCGAAGGGCAAATGAGCTTATGCCGTGGCGCGGCGTCCGTCGTCCGGCGTCAATATTTTACCTTAAACACCCTTTTCTTAATAACAAAAAGGCCTAGGGTGATGATATTTGGCCAGAAGCAAACTGGAATAAAGAGCTACCAAGTTTGTTCAAATAAATGACCTTGACTTATATTCAAGGTCAGAGGGCAAATATGTTTAAAACCTTTAATCAACTTCTTCTGAATAACCCAGAGGCCTAGGGTGATGATATTTGGCCAGTAGCATGCTGGGATGAAGGGCAACAGAGTTTGTTCAAACGAATGACCTTGACATATATTCAAGGTCACAGTGATCAAATATGTTTGAAACCTTTAAACAACTTCTCCTGAATAACCGAGAGGCCTAGGATACTGATATTTGGCCAGTAGCATGCTTGGATAAAGGGCCACCAAGTTTGTTCAAACGAATTGCCTTCGCCCATTTTAAGGTCACATGGGTCAAACATGTTTATAACCTTTAAACAACTTCTACTCAATAACCAAAAAGGCCTAAGATGATGATATTTTGCCAGTAGCATGCTGGGATGAAGGGTTACCAAGTTTGTTCAAATGAATGACATTCACCAAATTTCCAGGTCACAAGGATCAAATATATTTTAAACCTTTAAACAACTTCTTTTCAATACCCTAAAGGCCTAGGATGCTGATATTTGGCCAGTAGCATGCTTAGATAAAGGGTTACCAAGTATGTTCAAACAAATGACCTTCACTCATTTTCAAAGTCACAGGGGTCAAATATTTTTAAAACCTTTAAACAACTTCTTCTCAATAACCAAAAAGCCTAAGATGATGATATTTAGCCAGTAGAATGCTGAGTTTAAGGGCAGCGAAGTTTGTTCAAACGAATGACCTTCGCTCATATTCAAGGTCACAGGAATCAAATATGTTTAAATCCTTTCAACAACTTCTTCTCAATAACCAAAAGGCCTAGGATGATGATATTTGGCCAGTAGCATACTGGGATAAAGGGCAACAAAGTTTGTTCAAACGAGTGACCTTCGCTAATATTCAAGGTCATTCATTTGAACAAATATGTTTAAATCTTTAAATGACTTGTTCTGAATAACCAAAAGGTCCAGGGTAATGATATTTGGCCAGAAGCATGCTGGGATCGAAGGCTATAACTCTGTTCAACCTGATGTCCTTGTTCGACAATCAAGGTCACAGGCGTCCTATGTTTAAATCTTTTAATAGGTTCTTATGAATTGAACACTGATATTTTGTAGCTGTATATTAGTCAACTTTTAAGATTACAAGTGTGAGATTAATACCAGATGAGCGATCCAGGCCCATTGGGCCTCTTGTTTTCTTTTGATCTATGTGCGTTCGTTTGTATGGCTCAACCTATGGGTTTGTATAGTCCTACATATGTTCTTTCTGCAGCAGTGTTACTGGTGGTTCTAGTTAACATCCTTTCCCTCGTAGGCTATACCAGTGGCATATTACTGCATGTCTCTCCGTATGCCTATAGCGTAACTCATTCACCTCTAACACGTAGGCTATACCAGTGGCATATTACTGCATGTCTCTCCGTATGCCTATACCGTAACTCATTCACCTCTACCATATTACTGCATGTCTCTCCGTATGCCTATACCGTAACTCATTCACCTCTACCATATTACTGCATGTCTCTCCGTATGCCTATAGTGTAACTCATTAACCTCTAACATATTACTGCATGTCTCTTTGTAGGCCTATAGTGTAACTCATTCACCTTTAACATATTACTGCATGTCTCTCCGTATGCCTATACCGTAACTCATTCACCTCTACCATATTACTGCATGTCTCTCCGTATGCCTATACCGTAACTCATTCACCTCTACCATATTACTGCATGTCTCTCCGTATGCCTATACCGTAACTCATTCACCTCTACCATATTACTGCATGTCTCTCCGTATGCCTATAGCGTAACTCATTCACCTCTAACATATTACTCCATGTCTCTCCGTATGCCTAAAGCGTAACTCATTCACCTCTAACATATTACTCCATGTCTCTCCGTATGCCTAAAGCGTAACTCATTCACCTCTAACATATTACTCCATGTCTCTCCGTATGCCTATAGTGTAACTCATTAACCTCTAACATATTACTGCATGTCTCTTTGTAGGCCTATAGTGTAACTCATTCACCTTTAACATATTACTGCATGTCTCTCCGTATGCCTGTAGCGTAACTCATTCACCTCTAACATATTACTGCATGCCTCTCCGTATGCCTATAGCGTAACTCATTCACCTCTACATATTACTGCATGTCTCTCCGTATGCCTATAGCATAACTCATTCACCTCTAACATATTACTGCATGCCTCTCCGTATGCCTATAGCGTAACTCATTCACCTCTACATATTACTGCATGTCTCTCCGTATGCCTATACCGTAACTCATTCACCTCTACCATATTACTGCATGTCTCTCCGTATGCCTATACCGTAACTCATTCACCTCTACCATATTACTGCATGTCTCTCCGTATGCCTATAGTGTACCTCATTCACCTCTAACATATTACTGCATGTCTCTCTGTATGCCGATAGCGTAACTCATACACCTCTAACATATTACTGCATGTCTCTCGGTATGCCTATAGTGTAACTCATTCACCTCTAACAAATTACTGCATGTCTCTCCGTATGCCTATAGTGTAACTCATTAACCTCTAACATATTACTGCATGTCCCTCCGTATGACTATAGTGTAACTCATTAACCTCTAACATATTACTGCATGTCTCTCTGTATGCCGATAGCGTAACTCATACACCTCTAACATATTACTGCATGTCTCTCTGTATGCCGATAGCGTAACTCATACACCTCTAACATATTACTGCATGTCTCTCCGTATGACTATAGAGTAACTCATTCACCTCTAACATATTACTGCATGCCTCTCCGTATGCCTATAGCGTAACTCATTCACCTCTACATATTACTGCATGTCTCTCCGTATGCCTATAGTGTAACTCATTCACCTTTAACATCTATCTGCACTTTATTTTCAATTTCTTTTCCTTCAAATTAGAACTTTGTAATCCCATCAGCATACTATGGGAATCGTAATGTATATTTTTTTAATCATTTCCTGAACATATTCCAGAACATTGAAATGCAAATTTGTTTTCCTACCCCTAGAACTTACAATGGGGTATTGTCATGTGTAATACACTTCTTGCGACACTACCACTTGCGTCCTGTCACTTTCCCGATAAACCCCAACAAACGCTGGCCCTTGTTAACCTGTTTTGGTAGTAGAATTGTGCTGACACAGAACTACTAAATCTGTCCATTCACAATCATAAAATACTATAAGACCTTTTACTTGTATCATACATTTAATTGCAATATAATTTTACAATAACTATCTGTCCGGTATTGTAGACTTAATTTATTCTATGAGAACAACATTCTCACACCATCAAATTTTGTAACAATCCCTAAACAATACATTACAGAGAACAAATAACAAAACCTAAATATGGAATAATTAGGATCAATGACTAGCTTAGAGCTGACTGCCAGCATGCTTTACAGAATTATACACATGGTTTAGTAACGTTTACAACTTCCTACACAATTATACTGCCAAAAAAATCTGAGAAAACAGTCCTCTGTGTGGCAGTAGAAAAATGAACAGGTCCAGCGATGCAAATAGTTTAGCACGTTTCCAGCCACAGGTTTCTGACAAACGACAGGGACGAAGTGGTTCAGTGGCATCTGTCTCCTAAACATTCCGATCCCTCGGGTCATGTTGGAATGAAGTTAAACACATCACTATGTTCGTCCCATAGTGTATTCAAGAATGGATTTACCTGGGAAAATGAAGCAAAACAGAAAGTTCTGAGATGGACATCACGCCGTCTAACAATCTTGGAAGAGTAATCGCCAATGGCCATTTCCGCAAGCAAGATTTTATATGATGCATTTAGTAAAACATTTATCAACATGTGAAGTATAAGTGCTAAGCTTGAATGGTGCAATGTAAATGTTTACCTTGTGTTACATAGAAGTCAGAAGGCTACCAAATGCAATGAGGGACTGACTTGGATGGTACATGCTTACCTTGCGTTACATAGGAGATGGAGTTAGGAGGCTACCAAATGCAATCGGATGAGGGACTGACCTGCAACATAATCAGATGTATACTGCTATTAAAATGAATCCCACTCATTTTGACTGTGACTTGTTTGTACACATTCAAATCCTAGATCAATATATCAGTCATATCTTAATTAAGTGTCCATGATGAATATTCAACGAAATATTTACTATTTCTTTGAGTGATAGGAGATAATTATAAGAAGTGTGCTGAAGAAGGTTCTGGCTTTTCGTAAAATCTTTATTATTTTGCTCAAATTCAGTGTTCAAGAAATATTGTGTTCTTACTTTGGGGTTGCAGGCACCGTATATCTCCTAGGTGACGGTGTGTCTCCAACCGTTCCTACAACAAAAACCTCCTACAATCACATTTCCTTAACAGAATCAAGATACCTAGCTATGTCCTGTACATGTGATGCTAATCATCAAGAGATCTCTAGATGGCCTGTATTGGGTACACACAAGGAGATCCTTAATGGCTGCTGGTATTGCTAACTTGAATATAGAAATTTCTTGGGACTGAATAAAATGGCTCACCTAAACCTAAACTCAAGGAAGGAATTCACATTCACCCATTTGTCAACCCTTGACGGGAAGTCATACTCATCTATACGTCTACTTGCACCTTCAGAAGAAATATCTCGAACGTAATGACTATAAGATGTTAACCTTACAGAGTATACACGTGGTCCGGTCTTACAGTAGATGGAGGTTGGAAAGAGGCCGGTCACCTCTGTCCATAAACGGAAACTACAACTTTAAGACACCAAAGTATTCCCAAAGAGGATTATCGTCAGTGAAATTCAGCATAAAATGACGCTTCTTGGAGAAATCTGAAAGGAAACCAACAGTCCGAATACAGAAAACATGTTATCGCAGTGACATCAAGTATGAAGAGTCTCAGCTGGCTGAAATGATAGAAGTTCAAATTGCAATGAGAAGATGGAACTTAAACATTCTTGGTATCAGCGAGGTGAGATAGTTCTTGGCGGGCTGCAGACAAGAGGAGAAATATTGAATTTAAGGGGCAAAAAAAACATCATAAAAGAGTTGCCTAGGATACACCTTGGTAAAATGGAATCTTTTAAGTGATAAGAGCAGGACTCGTCACCCGCTAGGCAAAACCGACTCATCCAGATATGTATTCTGACCAATTATGTGGATGATGAACAGAAGGACAATTCATAGGATCAAATTAGAAAATTCATCCAGGAAACACCACGACATGATTGTCATCATGAGTGATTCAAAAACTGAATGAAAAGGCAGCAAATGTAACGTCACTGTACCCAAATCAGGACACTTTTTAGATAAATGTCAATGATCTTTATACAATACTTTTTCCATAAATAGATACTATCCACTTTTCATTTCTATTACCATTTGATATTTCGGGCGCATGGTTCTATGAAAAGAATGCGAAATACCATCAGAGTTACGTAGGCCCTTGAACCCACGTTATTGTACCCTGAAAAGGCCACTTACGGTATTTTGACGAATATTTGGGGATAAACAATCAGTATCGGCAGAAAACATGCATAGTTGAAATATTTTAGAGTCAACAAGGGTTCTGATTAAATTTCTTTTCCAAACTAGCATTAGTTTTGATAAAATATACTTTTGAAAATGATACCCAAATAAATAGCGTCGCACGGCATGTAAATCAGGAAAGTTTTGTTTTGGTAATTATTCTTACCTTTAAATTGTCCATGTAACAATAATCACCAGCCAAAAAGCTCAAAACAGTTTAATTGTCGTGAAAAGTATTATCAAATGAAAACTGTATACATAAAAGTACTTCTTTGCATTGAATGACAGTTGATTGGGCCGTTTTACCACAAGTGTCCCGATTTGGGTAGCTGTCCTGATTTGGGTAGCTGTCCTGATTTGTCCTGATTTGGGTAGCTGTCCTGATTTGGGTAGCTGTCCTGATTTGTCCTGATTTGGGTAGCTGTCCTGATTTGAGTAGCTGTCCTGATTTGGGTAGCTGTCCCAATTTGGGTAGCTGTCCTGATTTGTCCTGATTTGGGTAGCTGTCCTGATCTGGGTAGCTGTCCTGATTTGTCCTGATTTGGGTAGCTGTCCTGATTTGGGTAGCTGTCCTGATTTGTCCTGATTTGGGTAGCTGTCCTGATTTGGCCTGATTTGGGTAGCTGTCCTGATTTGGGTAGCTGGTACAGTGACAGTAGGATTGGAGAATGCTATGTCCAAGAGTGTAATGAACAAGAGGTCCATTGGACCTGTATCGCTCACCTGGTTTTTATATTTAAGTCATTACAACTGAATGCATTAGTACATCTTTGTATGAAATTTCCTCAAATCCAGACAAGATCTATGTTCTAACCCAACTGGGACCACAATATCTGACTTTCAACTAATCAGGGGCCTCCATTGAGTTGCCATGTTAACAGATTTTGAAATAAGTAATATGTCATATTACAGGGTGTAATTAGACAATACTTGAATTTTCATTCAACTATAAGCTTTTATAAAACTAGAAACCAATTTTAACAATTTATAAAAACTACACCACAGAATATGATAATCTAGCTGTACCATTTCTTAGGACCGCAGGGGTCAAATCAACCTCATTCAATTAAGAAATGTTTGCAGGCAATTAGGGGATATTAGCGTCTTAAAGCAAAATATTAGGTCTTCCTAGCCCCAGAGGTCGAACCAGTCTCATTTATTAAGGAAATGATTGCCCTCCCCCAATGAAGTTTCAGAGCAAATTTGGTTGAAATCTAAGAGATGCGTTTTAAAGCAAATAATATAATATAATAGTACTGGACGCAGGCATATGCCTATATATCCAGATCCTGTGTATCGTCAGACTCTAAGCTGACACCCCGACAGTTAATAAGTTCATTATTATCAATTTCATGGGTTACCATCATGGGCCCCACCCCCTGGCCTCAGGGGTTGAACCAAACTCATTCATTTAAGAAATGATTGCCCTTCCCTAGTGATGCTTCAGACTTGATTTGGTTGAAATCCTCAGTGGCGTTAAGCAGGAGATACGTTTTAAAGCAAATTTATCTAAGTTCCTCTTCAGGGCCCAGCCACCCTGGCCTTAGGGGTCAAACCAACCTCATTTATTTAAGAAATGATTGCCCTCCCCTAGTGATGCTTCAGACTGAATTTGGTTGAAATCCTCAGTGGCGTTTAGGAGGAGGTGCGTTTTAAAGCAAATATAGCTAAGTTCCCCTTCATGGCCCCGCCCCGCCCCCCTGGCCTCAGGGGTCAAACCAACCTCATTAATTTATTTAAGAAATGATTGCCCATCCCTACTGATGTTTCAGACTAAATTTGGTTGAAATCCTCTCTGGTGTTTAGGAGGAGATGCGTTTTAGAGCAAATTTAGCTAAGTTCCCCTTCAGGACACCGCCCCCCTGGCCTCAGGGGTCGAACCAACCTCATTAATTTATTTAAGAAATCATTGCCCATCCCTACTGATGCTTCAGACTAAATTTGGTTGAAATCCTCTCTGGTGTTTAGGAGGAGATGCATTTTAAAGCAAATTTAGCTAAGTTCCCCTTCAGGGCACCACCACCCTGGCCTCAGGGGTCGAACCAACCTCATTAATTTATTTAAGAAATGATTGCCCATCCCTACTGATGCTTCAGACTAAATTTGGTTGAAATCCTCTCTGGTGTTTAGGAGGAGATGCATTTTAAAGCAAATTTAGCTAAGTTCCCCTTCAGGGCACCACCACCCTGGCCTCAGGGGTCGAACCAACCTCATTTATTTAAGAAATGATTGCCCTCCCCTAGTGATGCTTCAGACTAAATTTGGTTGAAATCCTCACTGGCGTTAAGTAGGAGATGCATTTTAAAGCAAATTTAGCTAAGTTCCTCTTCAGGGCCCCGCCCCCCTGGCCTTAGGGGTCAAACCAACCTCATTTATTTAAGAAATGATTGCCCTCCCCTAGTGAAGCTTCAGACTAAATTTGGTTGAAATCCTCTTTGGCGTTTAGGAGGAGATAGGTTTTAAAGAAAAAGTTGATGACTTGAAAATTGGTCAAGGTCATTCATTTGAACAAACTTGGTAGCCCTTCATCCCAGCATGCTCCTGGCCAAATATCATCACCCTAGGCCTTTTGATTATTGAGAAGAAGTTGTTTAAAGTAAAATATTGACGCTGGGAGATGGACGGACGACGGACGACGCACCATGGCATAAGCTCACTTGGCCTTCTGGCCAGGTGAGCTAAAAAACAAAGACAATATGTCACATTGGGACGCAAGACAATAATTCACGAAATAAAATGACATGGTTGGTTTGAAAGACTCAGATAAAGATGTTCAACATAGAATTAAGAACATATTTTAAGCAATTCAGACTAACACAGATGAACCAGATGAGATTGAGTGATTCGAGCACATCACGAAACTACAGAGTAAATGTTAGGGGGAAAAAGAAAAGGAAGCAATGTTAATGGCTAAGCAAAGAAACATGGACAAATACAGAAAAATAAAGTAGAAACACGTAAGATGAAGAAGGCAAAAGAAAGGATTAACTCAGAGAACTAGAATCCAAGGATACTAAAGGAAAGAAAACGGCAAGAGCTGATAAACAAAATCTAATGGTTAATATGCCAAACAAAGCAGAAAGAACTGCTTGCGAAAACCAAATTAGTCATCAAGGAAAATCTAAGGAAAATTGAGGTGGTTCAAAAGATAAAGCTGGAAATCCTACGGAAGATGTTGGGAACAATTCTTAAACGTTCTGAATGTAGATTCAGAAGAAAATGTGGTATTATCATCAGGCTGTAATCTGGTGAACTTGAAGAGATAGGCACTTCTGCAATTATCAGCTATAAGATAAGGAAAAAAAACTCCGCCACAAAAAAAGTCCAAGATTGGTAACATCAACGCCGAAGAGATGAAAGAAAGTGTGAATGACGTTAACATCCTAGCTTCAAGGAATCTTTAATATTCTAGAAACAGCAATTTCCAGATGGCTAGAAAATAACGCTTATAGTGAACATTTTACTTGACTATCTGCGACAATAGCCGTGGCATATCGCTCCCTTCTGTACTATCCAAAGTTTTCTGCAGAATCATCATAGACAGAATCAGAAATAGAGTAGACAACAAATTAAGGAAATTTAAGGAACCTGGGTTTACAAGGGGCATGTGACCATCAGAACAGCTTTGATTGTTGTGGAATACTTTAGAGCAGTGCAGCTTCAGAAAGGCTTCAGCATGGTCAGAACAAGGCCATCTTGTTCATAGTAATCAAAGTCTCAGTCATGCAACAATAATCGCCACACCACAGGACTAAGACGAAAATTTACAACAAAACTTGAGGACCTAGATTTTTCAAGACGAAGTCAACAGCGTGGACACTGTTTAAAAGGAAAGACACCAACTGGGATGGAGTTCATAGAAATGTGTAGAGCCAGCAACTTGGTATTTGTTGCTATGTTGAGGCCTTGTTCTGACCATGCTGAAGCCTTTCTGAAGCTGCACTGCTCTAAAGTATTCCACAACAATCAGTGTAAAGGAATGGATGTATGCAGTTACTAGGTGGCTCATTCATCACATATGGGTTGAACTTGATAAGTGAGCGAGTTAACATCCACCTGACATCCATCTGAGAGGAGTTACTTAAGTCCATATTAGTGGGTAGTTCACTTATGTGCCCATCTGAGGGGACAGTTCACACTTACCTATACGCCCACCTGAGGGGACAGTTCAAACTTACCTATACACCCACCTGAGGGAGGGAACAGTTCACACTTACCTATACGCCCACCTGAGGGGACAGTTCACACTTACCTATACGCCCACCTGAGGGAGGGGTTCGCACTGACACTCTGGAAACAGTGGATCCAAAATTTGTATAAGCATTCTGCAAATAAAGTGTTGTAATTAATTATCTACAGGATCTATACACTATATACATCTATACAGAGAAATTATTTTGTAATTTGTCAAATGGAATACTGCAAAAATCAGGTTGGTAAACATTTGATAAATCCGAGACAAAATGGTGTCAAACTTGTCTATCATACTAACAAGAAAGCGACCACGACTGACAAAGCACTCATAGGCATGGCTAAGACAATAATGTTGGCGGCACAAAGATCTAATTTATGAATGTACATGCAGCTCGCAGTTCCTGCTGATTCCTATATTCCTAAGAATTCTCTTATAGGAACTTGCAGGAAACAAAGAATCAAATAGTACAGAAATTTACAAGAATCCTAGGAAGTTCTGTTATAACGTACATGATTCCTAGAGTATTACAGTGATAATACTGGTAGAAACTTACATGACTGTTAATGGTTCTATATATTAATACTTTATACTCACAGCACTCCTGGGGAGTCCTATAAATGATGCCTGGGACACGGCCTGGGAGAGCTGGGTCTGTGAGAGCTGGGTCTGTGACTGGCTTCTAATGATGGGAAGGTAAAATTTAACAAAGTGATGAATATGCATCACTCCAACATCATGACCCTGGCATTAGGTGTATTACTGTTGTGTATGGCTACCAAGTGTCTATACTTTAGTGCACTTTTATAGGGTCCTCTGAATCATTTTTGTCAAATCAAAACAGTTGTACTTCATTCCATAGTTCAACTGAAAATTAATCTGGCTGTTGATCTTCCACATTCTTTTACATCCAGATCTCATATTTACCATAGTTACCATAAACTATTAGATCCAGATCTCATATTTACCATCGTTACCATAAAATATTCCATCCAGATCTCATATTTACCATAGTTACCTTAAACTATTACATCAAGAACTCATATTTACCATAGTTACCATAACCTATTAGATCCAGATCTCATATTTACCATAGTTACCTTAAACTATTACATCAAGAACTCATATTTACCATAGTTACCATAAACTATTAGATCCAGATCTCATATTTACCATCGTTACCATAAACTTTTACATCCAGATCTCATATTTACCATAGTTACCTTAAACTATTACATCAAGAACTCATATTTACCATAGTTACCATAAACTATTAGATCCAGATCTCATATTTACCATCGTTACCATAAAATATTCCATCCAGATCTCATATTTACCATAGTTACCATAGTTACCATAAACGATTACATGCTCTACAACATGTAGATAGCACAAGTTTCAGCAGGTATATACCTACCATAAACTATTACATCCAGATCTCTTATTTACCATCGTTACCATAAACTATTACATCCAGATCGCATATTTACCATCGTTACCATAAACTATTTCATCCAGATCTCATATTTACCATCGTTACCATAAACTTTTACATCCAGATCTCATATTTACCATAGTCACCATAGTTACCATAAACTATTACATGCTCTACAACATGTAGATAGCACAAGTTTCAGCAGGTATATACCTACCATAAACTATTACATCCAGATCTCTTATTTACCATAGTTACCATAAACTATTACATCCGGATCTCATATTTACCATCGTTACCATAAAATATTCCATCCAGATCTCATATTTACCATAGTTACCTTAAACTATTACATCAAGAACTCATATTTACCATAGTTACCATAAACTATTACATCAAGAACTCATATTTACCATAGTTACCATAAACTATTACATCAAGATCTCATATTTACCATCGTTACCATAAACGATTACATCCAAATCTCATATTTACCATAGTTACCATAAACTATTACATCAAGAACTCATATTTACCATAGTTACCATAAACTATTACATCCAGATCTCATATTTACCATAGTTACCATAGTTACCATAAACTATTACATGCTCTACAACATGTAGATAGCACAAGTTTCAGCAGGTATATACCAAAGAGGACCCATGAAGGGGGACCCTATTAAAAACTACTACTGTGTATGTCCTGCGGTGAAGTGGACATCTGGCATACATGTCCATGTGGCATCCACACACCTTGGCCATTATACATATTTAGCAAACAATTAAACCTTCCAGCAAACTACTAGTAAATTCAAAGTAGCTGTATTATATGGGACATACAATCTTCCCAATACTTCCAATAGAATAACTGATCAAATCAATGGATTACAAACAGAACTGCATGGACAGGGCATCTCAAGGTTCTGAAGTCATGAGAAAGTCAAGACAACACTATTAAGCTTCACCTACAATTGGGCTCAAAATTTACAGCAGACTCTCTTGGAACGAATGCAGAGCCAGCTTCTAAATTACGCAAAAATAGTCATACTAGATATTTTTTCAAGTATATGTCACTAATTTTATAGTGATGAAAGGATGGAGCAGTCGCACCAGGATAGAGCTAGTTATAATGGAGGGCCAGAGCATTAATTAGATCAAAAATAGTAACACCCAAGTATAAACTTGGCTCTGGATAAAATTCCATTGTTCTTTCACAGTCTTTAAAGCAAGGGAATGACATACACTGATCCTGTTTTTGAGGACAAAGATGGTGTCCAGAATTCTATTACAGTTTTCTTAAAAAACAATGTCCATTTTTAAGTAATACTTCTGGTGCAGTTAATTATCAAAAAGAACTTGATTGTGTTAATCTGTGTTACATTACCTGCCTGAGCTGATCATCTGTGGTGAAGAGGATGGGGAACCTAGAGAAAACAAGACTATTATAGCAATTCACAGTCCTGTAACCTAGTGGTGACTATACAAGTAAACCACCAACAATATAGTAAAGGTAATGTAGAACCTAGTGAAATCCAGTTGTAATAGTGAAAGAATATGCAACAAAATAAAACTTTACTAATTCTCTCCAAATTTTACATGGTAGCAAGTCTCCAATGTCCGAAGTACCCAAAAATAATTCCTATTTCTTCTATTACAAGTCCCCATTTCACATTCATTTTGAAGACTTTCTATAAATTTTACACAAACTTGTCTAAGTACAGTTAGCTGACACTCAAATTCACAGGAAACCTACTTCTGTAGACAGGTGATGAGTTCCCACTGCGACGTCCATGTGATCTGAAATATTCATACAACCTGTAAGTGTACACTTAAGAGAAGATTCCCTTTAAATAAATGACAATAATGATAGGTTTCACAAACTAGCATGTTGTTAACACAGGGACTTCATGAGATATGATGTGGGCTGATATAAGGTACATGTATATAACTAGGAACCCTTTATACTTACACAAATCTATATAACCACGAACCCTTTATACTTACACAAATCTATATAACGACGAACCCTTTATACTTACACAAATCTATATACCTACGACCCCTATATACTTACACAAATCTATGTAACCACGAACCCTATATACTTACACAAATCTACATAACCACGAACCCTATATACTTACACAAATCTATATAACTATGAACCCTTTATACTTAAACAAATCTATATAACCACGAACCCTTTATACTTACACAAATCTATATAACCACGAACCCTATATACTTACACAAATCTATATAACTATGAACCCTATATACTTTCACAAATCTATATAACTATGAACCCTATATACTTACACAAATCTATATAACTAGGAATCCTATATACTTTCACAAATCTATATAACTAGGAACCCTTTACACTTACACAAATCTATATAACCACGAACCCTATATACTTGCACAAATCTATATACCTACGACCCCTATATACTTACACAAATCTATATAACTATGAACCCTATATACTTACACAAATCTATATAACTATGAACCCTATATACTTACACAAATCTATATAACTATGAACCCTATATACTTACACAAATCTATATAACTATGAACCCTATATACTTACACAAATCTATATAACTATGAACCCTATATACTTACACAAATCTATATAACTATGAACCCTATATACTTACACAAATCTATATAACTATGAACCCTATATACTTACACAAATCTATATAACTATGAACCCTATATACTTACACAAATCTATATAACTATGAACCCTATATACTTACACAAATCTATATAACTATGAACCCTATATACTTACACAAATCTATATAACTATGAACCCTATATACTTACACAAATCTATATAACTATGAACCCTATATACTTACACAAATCTATATAACTATGAACCCTATATACTTACACAAATCTATATAACTATGAACCCTATATACTTACACAAATCTATATACCTACGAACCCTATATACTTACACAAATCTATATAACTATGAACCCTATATACTTACACAAATCTATATACCTACGAACCCTATATACTTACACAAATCTATATAACTATGAACCCTATATACTTACACAAATCTATATACCTACGAACCCTATATACTTACACAAATCTATATAACTATGAACCCTATATACTTACACAAATCTATATACCTACGAGCCCTATATACTTACACAAATCTATATAACTATGAACCCTATATACTTACACAAATCTATATACCTACGAACCCTATATACTTACACAAATCTATATACCTACAAACCCTATATACTTACACAAATCTATATACCTATAAGCCCTGTGTACTTACACAAATCTATATACCTACAAACCCTATGTACTTACACAAATCTATATACCTACGGGCCCTATATACTTACACAAAACTATATAACTATGAACCCTATATACTTACACAAATCTATATACCTATGAACCCTATATACTTACACAAATCTATATAACTATGAACCCTATATACTTACACAAATCATTATAACCATGAACCCTATATACTTTCACAAATCTATATACCTACAAACCCTATATACTTACACAAATCTATATACCTACAACCCCTATATACTTACACAAATCTATATACCTACGATCCCTATACTTACACAAATCTATATAACTACAAACCCTATATACTTACACAAATCTATATACCTACGATCCTTATATACTTACACAAATCTATATACCTACAAGCCCTATATACTTACACAAATCTATATACCTATGAACCCTAAATACTTACAAAAATCTATATACCTACAAACCCTATATACTTACACAATTATGCGCCAGAGGTAATTTCACCTTAGCTAAATCAGTAGAGTGGTGGACTGGGAAGCTGGGAGGTTACAGGTATATAATACACTACTCTCTTTCCTGTTACAAATGGTGCCACGACCAGGATTGTTGTGGTGGGTGGAGGGAGCAGTGTGGCACAATATATTTATATATAGAATAGGATTACAGATGCCTTCTAGCTTCATGCTGAATGATAAGCTAGGATTCCATACTGGTACATATGATGAATAAAACACGATACTGGAGTAATTAATTGATAAACCTAAACTTGTTGTTATAATCATGAATGTAAAGTGTACGCACCTGTTAGTTGTACTGGCTATGTGTCTCTGTCAATAGAAACAGCAGTTTAACATTCAGATATGCAATGTATATTGTGTATCACATCATTTTACTTAAAATTCAGTTATTGAATAATATGGCAAACATTACTGATGTGGCATGGTATTGTAAAGCATAGTGAAATGAACTGGGGTCAAATTGCCATTGTGGAAATTTATATAAACCACCCAGAGTCAGAGATGAAGCCAAACTATCTGATTTCATTTCTAATATTTTGTTTACACTAATTCTTATTTAGTTTACTTCAATGTTTTGCTCTATATATGTCAATAACAAAACTTATATCTGGGATTAGAACTTTTGGGAAGGTCAGTGAAGTTTTTACTTTACCAGTGAAAACAATCTGTATAACCATTTTGTTTTCGTACTGTTTTTTTTTTCATCAAATATTTTTAGTTTAGTTTAGTTTGGGTAAAGAATTATGTGATGTGAAAGTGGGGTTAACTTTACTAACGATTAAAGTGAAGCACACACACACACACACACACACACACACACACATGTATAACAGAAGAAATTTAAAATCTATTTTGATAGATTTGATGTCAAAAAGTCACCCAATTAGTAAAACATTTGGTTAAATAAAATTGTTGTAATAGTCATACACCTAAAGAATGCACAGGCCAAAATACTGAATATAGGAATAGGCCAATGGTTCTTAGTAGAGGTTATTCAAAATGATTAAAGTTGAATAATCTGTGTTCTCAACTCTGCTCTGTGTTCTTCACTCCATGATAACATTTTAGTCACCAAGAACATGAACTGACTGACATACAGTTTGATCAATAAGGGTACATGTACTATAAATTTGCTTACACTTTCACGTTCATTCATCAATCTTTTCAAGTAGGAATTTTCTTCGCGTAGTTTGCTCATCTCCCTGTAATAATCAACAGCCAAATATACTATAAAACATGACGGTTAGCTACAAAGTGGAATACTCTGCAGATTAGATTGAACTTCAAACTAAGACTTCACTTTTGGATATTTTACATGCTTACCAAGTTTCATTAAAAGTGAATAATATTTAAGACATTTAATTATCTTGTGGAAAACTAGATTGGATGGATGGCGAGACAGAAGGAAGGACAAAGAAAGGCTCCAGATATCAAATATCCTGTTAAAATCTGATGTTTATACAATAATCATTTAAAGACTATCTGTTTGCTAAAACTCCATTGAACTTGCCTATAGAAAATATTGACTGTATGTTTATTAGATGATCGTCTCACCTGTATGTTTATTAGATGATCGCCTCACCTGTATGTTTATTAGATGATCGTCTTACCTGTATGTTTATTAGATGATTGCCTCACCTGTATGTTTATTAGATGATCGTCTCACCTGTATGTTAATTAGATGATCGTCTCACCTGTATGTTTATTAGATGATCACCTCACCTGTCTGTTTATTAGATGATCGTCTACCTGTATGTTTATTAGATGATCGTCTTACCTGTATGTTTATTAGATGATCGTCTTACCTGTATGTTTATTAGATGATCGCCTCACCTGTATGTTTATTAGATGATGGTCTCACCTGTATGTTTATTAGATGATCGTTTTACCTTTCCAGGTCATGGGTTGACTGTATGTTTATTAGATGATCGCCTCACCTGTATGTTTATTAAATGATCATCTTACCTTTCCAGGTCATGGGAGGCTCGGATAGCTCTTTGACATTTCTCCATAACATTCTGTTGTCTGTGGAGCTAGAACAAATAGCAAACCAGAGATATACCATATATACAAAGGCCATTCTGATATTGTCATTTGTTTATAACAGAATTCTGAAAATGGTTTCTTACCTTGTCCATCAAATATGAAAAAAATCTCCTCCTTTGATTGTGTTGGAAGTCCATGACCTTTAAAAGTAATGAATATCAAATTCGGTATTGTTGTCACAGTACAAGATATTCAGAGTCAAAAATTAATTAGCAATTTTAATGGAAATAGTCCTAAGCTGAGTGAGATCATGACAAATTTTTCTCATATTATGAATATATTGATCTTATTGTTAGGGTAAAATATGATTAAGAATTGTCTTCAAAAAATTCCTCATAATTTTCTAAAATAGTAAATTTACAAACCTGAATGATTTTTCTGAATTCCTTTTTAAGTAAATCCATTGGATTAGTAAAAAACAATTCAACATCTGGTTTCATCTGAAAAATTGATAAAAATCAGGAATGTCAAATATAAAATGCACATTTTCATCATGATGTTTGTATAAAACGTCAAAGAAATAAAAAAAAACCCCAAATATTATGATATATAATTTGTCAACAATTCTTGCCTTATTGATCAAAACATTGTGTTGTCTTGACTGTCCAGACATTGTGTTGTCTCACCTGTCCAGACATTGTGTTGTCTTACTTGTCCAGACATTGTGTTGTCTTACCTGTCCAGTCATTGTGTTGTCTTACCTGTCCAATCATTGTATTGTCTTACATGTCCAGACATTGTGTTGTCTTACATGTCCAGTCATTGTGTTGTCTTACCTATCAAAACATTGTGTCATCTAACCTTCCCAATCATTGTGTTGTCTTACCTGTCCAGACATTGTGTTGTCCTAATTGTCCAGACATTGTGTTGTCTTACTTGTCCAGACATTGCGTTGTCTTACTTGTCCAAACATTGTGTTGTCTTACCTGTCAAGTCATTGTGTTGTCTTACCTGTCCTAACATTGTGTTGTCTTACCTCTCCAGACATTGTATTGTCTTACATGTCCACTCATTGTGTTGTCTTACCTGTCCAGACATTGTGTTGTCCTAATTGTCCAGACATTGTGTGGTCTTAATTGTCCAGACATTATTGTGTTGTATTACCTGTTCCGACATTATGTTATCTTTCCCGTCCAGACATTTTGATGTCTTACCTGCCCAGAAATTGCGTTGTCTTTCCTGTCCAGACATTTTTTTGTCTTACTTGTCCCGACATTGTGTTGTCTTGCCTCTCCAGAGATTGTATTGTCTTACCTGTCCGGACATTGTGTTGTCTTTCCTGTTCAGACATTATGTTATCTTTCCCGTCCAGACATTTTGATGTCTTACCTGCATAGAGATTGTGTTGTCTTACTGACCAGTCATTGTGTTGTCTTACCTGTCCAGACATTGTGTTGTCTTACCTGTCCAGACATTGTGTTGTTTTACCTGTCCAGTCATTGTGTTGTCTTACCTGTCCAGTCATCGTGTTGTCTTACCTGTCCAGACATTGTGTTGTCTTACCTGTCCAGACACTGTGTTGTCTTACCTGTGCAGTCATTGTGTTGTCTTACCTGTCCAGACAGGGGAATGGTTGTACACGCAGTGCCACACATTTTACACTTTCCATTGGTGACTGAAATACAAATATCATTGACCTTTTACTGATGAGTGAAAAAAAAAGATAATCTTATCCATAATCAGTTTCATTGGTTAAGCCGAGTACTTCAAAACATTCTAAAATAAATATGTGATTCCCTATGTTTTTCTCAAATATTGTCTGTAGATTGCTACTATAAAAAACAGTACAATAAAGATCTGGTTAACACATTGATATTAAAGAAACACTATGATAACATCAAAGAACATTTTAAGATGTATCAATATACAATACTAAATGTGGATTGATAACATTTCATTGGAACATACGGATAGGTGATTTATAGATTTTCTCAATTTAAGATGACAAGCATGATTAAAATGTTAAGATAATTAACGTTTGTATTACTTGTTAATCTTGACACTCTGTGATAATATTAACCTTGATCTATACACTTTTCACAGTATATATGGCCACAGCTTGTTAACAGGAACTTCCCTCCATCTCCTGGTTGGTGAAAACAGGTGTTGCAATGCAGCCAATCCATTGCCTAACTTTAAATAAAGATAAAAATGAATTGTGATGTGATAACTAATATTTAGATAAAGGATTACCTTTAATTTATAAACAACTGTCTGTCCCACATAATTTGTTTTTTTTTTTATTTTTCAGATTTTGAATGAAACAAATCACCAATATTCATTCATTTTTTGTGTTGACATATCTCATTACATAATTTCGTTTTGTTGATATAAATCATCCAGCATGGTTGAAAACATCCAGCTCAGTTGAAGAATCAGTGATATTCAATGTTTTTTTTTGTAACTGCCTAACGACATCATACATACATATATATATATATGATTTTTTTTGTAGTTGTGTTAATATGTTTCAAAGATGACTTGGCAGGTGTAATAGACAAATAAAATTATAAGATACAAAATCTGCATGGCATTCTGTTAATTCGTATTGATAAATAACATTAATAATTTTCTCAAAAAATAAACAATTCTATATTGCAATTAACAATTGTGGTTAGGATTTTGAAAATCAACTGCATTTCTCATTTGTTGTGAAAAAAATATTGAGATAGCAATATAAATTGGATGACCTGCAGATTTTGTACAGTGACGGTTAGTTCCAACAGCAGTACACTACTTAAGGTTAATATTACGAGTAAGAGTTAACATTTAACAATCAAGGGGAGGTAATCATTACAGAAAATAAACGTTTAAAGACGTTGTAAAGCCTCATGCATGTCATTTGCCTTGGACAGTCTGCAGGGTTAGACAACTTTTTTGTTGCTATGTTGTCCACAGAACTAGTTGAACAGATTATTAAGGCCTAGCCTACTTGTCCTTTGTCAATGTAACTTGTCCAATATTTCCTGATAAGGAAACATCGCGATCTACAGCACGAAACATCAAAAGTAATCGCACAGGAGTCTGACGTTTAATTAATATATGTATAGGAGTCTGACGTTTAAAAGATAGTATACAGGGTATTTTTTTTATATATAGACTGTTATACATATATTAATTAAACGACAGACTCCTTTGGTAATCGACTGTGTAGGGACTTAAAATAAATACTGCCATGAAAATATGGTGAAGTTTTAGGAATTTTTTGACAATTATCATGCAATAAATCTTATTTTAAGCAGTTATCTTATTTTAAGCAGTTTTCTTAGTTTTGAAAAGGAATATTCTTTTCAATAATCATATTTTTCACAAGTCCAAAGGACTAGTTAGACAAGGTGATTCACTAGTCCTTGCTGAAATCTACTAGTCCAGGACTAGCGGACTAGTGTTAGTGTCGCCCTGCCAGTAACATGGCAAATTTTGTAAATTAACGTACCTTTGTGTCATACACAGGAATCAGCGATGTCCGACTCTTGATTATAATTTCGAAGAACATTCATCAGTGTCCACTTCCTCAAGAAACACTCATCGAAAAGTCCCAACAGTCAACGTCATCGAAATTCACATGCCTCGTAGGAATGAATTAGACAAGGGCTAAAAACTAATTGGAGAACTAAGATGAAATCATCTCTTTACACATTCATAACTTTTTTTGTCACGTGACACTCTTATTTCCGGAAGTAGTACACTAGTTCGGGGTCGGGAAAGAGTCAATATTATCCGGCATGCACGTCCTAAAGCGTTCGGTCGACCTGGTCAACTCTTCGCGGGATATTTTGTACAAAAAATATTTCTGTTCAATTTATTCGGACAATTTATACTTACAAATAAAGTTCGAGGTTTTGAATACATGTGGCGAATTTAGGGAGAAGGCCGGGGCATCTCAGTCATCCTCTGAGCCGGATGCGCGTCTAACACTGATCAATATTTTATCTATTTATCGAGGACAAGATGACAACAGGCTAAAGAAATAATTGTAAAAAGTAATGAAAGGTATTTAGAATTCACTTTATGTTGTCTAATGTTAAAGTTTTTGTGGGGCTGATGTTAACAACCAAAGATATTAGAAATACAAACCCAAAAGCCCCTGGACCTGACGGACTCCCGAACATTGTATTAAAGGAGTGCGCACCCCAACTTGCACCTGGAGTCTCTATGATATTCCAGAGGTCACTGGACACGGGAATACTCCCCCAGGACTGGCTGAATGCAAACGTGGCCCCTGTGTTCAAGAAGGGAGATCGTCATGCACCAGAGAACTACCGTCCTGTATCGTTGACCTCTGTTCTCAGCAAGATCCTCGAACACATAGTCTGTCATCATTTGCTTAACCACTTTGACCAGCGCGCAATGCTGTCACCTCTCAATCATGGCTTCCGTGCTGGTTATTCATGTGAAACCCAGCTTGCTGTCACCATACACGACCTTGTTTCCAACTTTGACGAAGGTTCACAGACCGACATCGCCATATTGGACTTCTCTAAGGAATTCGATACGGTGCCCCATAGGAGGTTGCTGCATAAGCTGGACTCGTACGGCGTACGTGGTAATCTTCATTGATGGATCAGTTCATTTCTCTGCCAAAGGCACATGAAAGTAGTAGTGGAAGGTGAATCCTCAAGAGAAGTCCCTGTTGCCTCCGGAGTACCCCAGGGAACAGTCCTAGGCCCTCTATTATTTCTGTGCCACATCAACGACTTACCTGATGCCGTCAAGTCTCAAGTACGCCTATTCGCAGACGACTGCCTGCTATACAGGATCATACGCAACCACCAGGACCATATCACCCTCCAGCAAGACCTAAAAAATCTTGAGTTCTGGGCCGAGCAGTGGGGCATGCGGTTCAATGCCAGCAAGTGTTACATCCTAACCATCAAGCAGAAGTCATCTTACTACTACCAACTGAATAACACTATCCTCAAAGGAGTTCCGACTAGCCCCTACCTTGGTATCACAATCTTGTCTGATCTCCGATGGGGAATCCACATCGACAAAATCTGTAAAAAAGCTAGTTCTACCCTAGGCTTTATTAGGCGGAACCTCTACCACTGCTCAGCCAAAACACGGAAATCGGCCTACATCTCGCTTGTCAGATCAACACTGGAATATGGAGCCATCATATGGGACCCATTCCTACAGTCGGATATTGACAAGCTGGAGAGGATTCAAAGGAAGGCTGCTCGATTCATCTCACGCGACCACAGAACAAGAACACCTGGATGCGTTGCCAACATGCTCAGGGACTTGGACCTGCTAACATTACAACAACGCAGAAAGGAGCTACGTCTGACCTTCCTGTTCAAGGTGGTGGAGGGGTTGGTATCGGCTATACCACCTAAGCCCTATTTAAAACCAGTGAGAATTAAACGCAAAGTGACAGCAAGGCATTTTAACAGCTTTATCTCAACAAACGTCGTTGAAAATAGTGTTACAAACAATAGCCGCTGTTTTCAAACTATTGCTGCAAAAACAGAAACACTGAGGAACTCTTATTTCCCCAGGACTATTATAGACTGGAACCATCTTCAGGACGAACAAGTCCTTGTGAAATCTGTGGAGATTTTCAAATCTCGTCTCCATTCGGATTAAAAACCCCTATGCGCTCTTCCCTCCCGTTGATTATATGCCAGAAGTGGTTTTTCAACGTACAGATACAGATACAGACAGATACAGATAATAAATAAATGGCCCAAAGCTAAATGGAACTTTAAAATAGACACCACAGTTCTGCAGGGAAGGAGCGGGCGGAGGGCCGGTGCTTAGAGGGGCTTGGCACTCAGCAAATAAATCTGAATCCGTGCCTGAGTAACTAAACATGGTGGACTGACACGAATGAAAGTGTGGAAACCGGAGTACCCGGAGAAAACCGACATTGCCGGACAGGTAACCCAAAATCTTTTCACGTTCAATCGGGGAGTCTAACCTGGACCATCTTGGTAAAAGGCAAGTGCGCTATCCACTGCGCCACCGACCCACCCGTGGATATGTATAAATGGTTTCTAAGATATTCATGTCAATGTCAATTACATAAACATGTATATGTAGCTACATAATTGGCTCACTTTTTATTGATATATGTCATTGATTTTTGTTTGATTTGATTGGTTTTTTTTATGAACCATTCGATAAATTCAGCCTCGCGTGAAAAAAGACAAGTAACATTTTGTGCCACTGGAGTACGGAAACAGTCTGCTGGTTATATCGTCGACCAGCAATTCAATCATATTCATGATTGAATCCCCAGTTAAGTTTTTCAGACAGAAATCCTTCAAAATAGTTCACAACCGTGCATTTTTAACACCGTTTGCATTTCTTCGGGGTGGGGATACACATTAAACGTTAATAAAAGAGAGATAAAAAGGGCGATTTCCTAAATCTGTTTGATAACGAAAATCGTGCTACGTACCTGTATACTGTTATAAGCCAGGATTGTCATCAGCAAAGATCAGCTGTCAGTGTCATCAGCCAGGATCAATTGTCAAAATCATGAGCCAGGATCAACTGTTAATGTTTCCAGCCATGATCAGCTGTCAGTAGTTTCCAGCCAGGATCAACTGTCAGTATCGTCAGCCAGGATCAACTGTTAATGTTTCCAGCGATGATCAACTGTCAGTATCGTCAGCCAGGATCAACTGTCATTGTCACCAGTCAGAATCAACTGTCAGTGTCATCAGCCAGGATCAACGATCAGTATTATTAGCCGGGATCAACTGTCAGTTTCACCAGCTTAAATCAACTGTATGTGTCACCAGCCGGTACAATAGACATAATCATCAGCCAGGATCAACTGTCACTGTCATCAGTCAGGATCGACTGTCAGTATCATCAGCCGGTATTATTAGTCAGTATCATCAGCCAGGATCAACTGTCAGTTTTACCAGATTAAATCAACTGTCAGTGTCACCAGCCATTGTCAACTGTCAGTATCATCAGCAAGCATTAACGGTTAATGTCACCAGCCCGGATCAACTGTCAGTATAACAAACCAGGATCAACTGACATTGTCACCAGCTAGGATCAACGGTCAGCATCATCAGTCAGGATCAACTGTCAGTGTCACCAGCCAGAAGCAATAGTCAGTATCACCAGCCAGGATCGAACTGTCAGTATCACAAACCAGGATCAACTGACATTGTCACCAGCTAGGATCAACGGTCAGCATCATCATTCAGGATCAACTATCAGTGTTACTAGCCAGGATCAACTGTCAGTGCTACCTGCCATGATTGATAGTCAGGATCAACTGTAATTGTCACCAGCCAGGATCAACTGTCAGTATCATCAGCAAAGATCAACTGTTAATGCCACCAGCCAGGATCAACTGTCAGTGTCTTCAGCAATGAACAACTGTCAGAACCATCACCTAGGATCAACGATCAGTATTATCAGCCAATATCAACTCTAAGTATTATCAGCCAATATCAACTGTCAGTGTCACCAGTCAGAATCAACTGTCAGTTTCATCAGCCAGGATCAACGATCAGTATCATCAGCCAGGATCAACAATCAGTATCATAAGCCGTGATCAACTGTCAGTTTCACCAGCTTAAATCAACTGTATGTGTCACCAGCCGGTACAATAGTCATATCATGAGCCAGGATCAACTGTTAATGTTTCCAGCCATGATCAGCTGTCAGTAGTTTCCAGCCAGGATCAACTGTTAATGTCACCAGCTAGGATCAACTGTCAGTGTCAACTATTAGTCAGTATCATCAGCCAGGATCAACTGTCAGTTTTACCAGATTAAATCAACTGTCAGTAACATCAGCCGGGATCATCTGTTAATGTCATCATCCATGATCAACGGTCAGTTTCACCAGATTAAATCAACTGTTAATGTCCCCAGCCATGGTCAACTGTCAGTATCATCAGCCAGCATTAACTGTTAATGTCATCAGTTAGGGCCAACGGTCAATGTCCCCAGCCCGGATCAACTGTCAGTGTCACCAGCCAGAAGTAATAGTCAGTATCCCCAGCCAGGATCAACTGTTAATGTCACCAGCTAGGATCAACTGTCAGTGTCAACTATTAGTCAGTATCATCAGCCAGGATCAACTGTCAGTTTTACCAGATTAAATCAACTGTCAGTAACATCAGCCGGGATCATCTGTTAATGTCATCATCCATGATCAACGGTCAGTTTCACCAGATTAAATCAACTGTTAATGTCACCAGCCATGGTCAACTGTCAGTATCATCAGCCAGCATTAACTGTTAATGTCATCAGTTAGGGCCAACGGTCAATGTCCCCAGCCCGGATCAACTGTCAGTGTCACCAGCCAGAAGTAATAGTCAGTATCACCAGCCAGAAGCAATAGTCAGTATCACCAGCCAGAAGTAATAGTCAGTATCACCAGCCAGGATCAACTGTTAATGTCACCAGCCAGGATCAACTGTCAGTGTCTTCAGCAATGAACAACTGTCAGAACCATCACCTAGGATCAACGATCAGTATTATCAGCCAATATCAACTGTAAGTATTATCAGCCAATATCAACTGTCAGTGTCACCAGTCAGAATCAACTGTCAGTTTCATCAGCCAGGATCAACGATCAGTATCATCAGCCAGGATCAACAATCAGTATCATAAGCCGTGATCAACTGTCAGTTTCACCAGCTTAAATCAACTGTATGTGTCACCAGCCGGTACAATAGTCATATCAT